CCATTCATTTGGACTTGGATTGAGATTGAGAACTATTAGTTCTTTTGCCTCGTTCTTTATTGGTACACATTGGAGCCCAACAAAAATTCCCTTGTTAAGAAATCAATAAAAGAATTTGATTCACCTTTAATATATTCAATTTTAAAATCATAAATAGAAAGGATTGTCCGCTATTTAGCAAATAATTATTTAGATGTTAAATTATTAACATCATTTTCTAATTTTTTTTTACAGCATTGCAATCAATTCCTAATAAAAATTCTTGATTTAACAAGTCCTCTTGAGACTTATTGATTCATTTAACAATAGAAAGAATTTCTTTTTTTATTGTAGAATAATTCGATTAAGCATTTTTCCAAACGTCAGAATGAAAACATATTAATTCTTTACAATTGAAATGAGGATTCTTTTACTTAAGAATTCCTCCATATCCTCTACTAGGAAAAAATATTGGGTGTAACCGTTACACCATATTAGCAGTGACATGTGGTGTAATAGTCTACTGATAGATAAACAAGTCAATAAATGGACCCCATCTCCCCGTCATGTAATACATAACCACTTCTACGATAGAAAGTGGACCATATTTTATCATTTTTCCTTTTTTCTTCATTGGATAGTTACACCCAATATTTCTATTAGATACATCAGTTTTAACATTTTTTTTTCCTATTGGATTCGCTAATGTCAAGTATGACAATTGTATTGCTTTAAGTTTAATCTTCTGAACAAGTTGCTATACTTAAAAAGTCTATTTTGGAGTAGATTTTCTCAATTGTTGATAAAGAATAGAAATATTTTGGGCAAGATTTTTGTAAAAATCAGATAAGTAATTAAGACTGCCCAAAAATTTTTGAACTTGCTTCTTGTCCTTGATTGCATCATAGAACTTAGAAGCAAATTCTATACTTTTATCAATTGGGACAATTTTCCTTTGACATATATGATGTCCAAAAAAATATATATTTGTTTGAAAAAAATTCATTTTTGTGGCTGAAACCACTAATCCATTTTTTTTATCACTTGAATAAAAATATTCAAATATTTGAAATGTTGATTAATGGATTTTGAAAAGATGAGTATATCATCAATATAAAAATAGAAAATACAGTATAAGGAGTAAATATATTATTCATGATATTTTGAAATTTAGAAGGAGCATTTTTTAAACCAAATGACATAACATTCAATTCATAATGTCCAAAAGGAACTGTGAATGCAATTTTTATATCGATCAATTTTAACAATCTGAATCTGTTAAACTCCAGACTTTAAATCAAATTTAGAAAATATTATAATAACATGTAGGCGAGTTAATAAAGCTTTTTTATTTGGAATTGGATATCCTATCCATTGTAAAACCTTATTTAAAAGTTTGTAATTTATAACCAAACGGGGTATTCCCCTTTCTTTTTTATTTACATAAAAGGCTACACAATTCTAAGGAGAATGAGTTTTTCTTTATTAAGGATTTTTCTAATAAAGATTGAATCTCTTGCTTATAGAGTGTTAAATATTCTTTATTCATTTGAATTGGTACTAGAAATATTTTTTCTGATTATAGTCTTTTCCTTTTTCAAAATGCATTAGGAATGGTACTGCATATTTCACAAACAATTTGTTTTTATAAAATTTTTAGATTATCCTGAAATTTAGGTTTTTTTAATTGATTTTCAATACTCATAATTTTTACTTCTTGCTGAATAAAATTAATTTCTTTTTTCTTTGAAAATTAAAATTTCCTTGATTTCATTTAGATCTTTTGTTTGTGGTTTAGTAATAAACTCAAAAATAGCTTGTTGATTGTTTAAAAAAGTGGTGATTCCTTTAGAATCGATTATTATTGATTTAATAAGAGTAAAAAACAGAGTTCCCAAACTAACATTTTGAGTTAAATTCTTAATAAGAATAAAGAATGTGGAAATAAGTCTAATTCTTATTTTCCCTACAAACAAAGTAGGAAGACTAAAAATGAATTTTTCTTTCCAAAATTCACTATTGATAGTTGACATTTTATCAAACTGCAAATTTTAGGTAGTACAAGGACATTTATGTTACGACATGATGATAATAGTGACTTTTGGGAAGAAAAATTTATTTCTAGTCTTCTTATTTTATTTCTAGAGAAAGTAAGAATTAGACTTAGAAATTAACTTAGAATATGTACACCTATGGTGAACTATTCAGCGAATGGATTATTTCCACACGTATTTATTGTAGGTGGAGAGCTAAAAGAGGCTGATCCACGTGTTTATGTTAACAATAATCGAAGGGAATGAGTAGGACAAGTGGATAGGATGGAAGGAACTCAAACAACATGTTAATGAAGGAATCAACCAGTTGAGCAGAGATAGGTGGGGAAGTGATGTAGGTATTTATAGCATAATGCCTGGGTAGGTTGGCAAAATAAATTTTAGAAAGGAATGTTAAGAATTTAACATCAAAACAGTTATTTGCTAAATAGTAGACAATCATTTCTATTTATGATTTTAAAATTGAATATTTTAAAGGTGAATCAAATTCTTTTCTTGATTACCAAAAAAGGGAATTTTTACAGAGCTTTAATGAGTATCAATATAGGATGAAGCAGAAGAACTAATAGTCCCCCCTTTTTGTAATATACCATTTTCACCGCTAAGTGTAGCTCAATCTGACTCTAATTCCTCTTCATCTTCACTGGTAATACCTGATAATAAAAAATTTACTACTTCTAAAAGGAAAGAAATCCTTGGATCAACCAGACCTTTAAGTGGACTATTCTAAAAATTCCAATACTGATATTATTTTATACTTGAAAAATATACAAGTTCAATGGATGAAAGATCCGTTCTATTTAATAAAACATATTTTCAATATTATCACTTTTTTATTAGGTGTGAACTTAATTGAACTTTTTATGAAAGAATTTTATATGAAACTTCATCACTCAGTATTTCTCATAATGATCTCTACGACAATCATATTTGGTTACAGTAAAATAAAAATTATGCGTGATTGAGACTTAAATCCCAATAATGAAAGATTTTTGAAAGCACCCAAGTATCGTTCTAATGAATTCGGGAAAACTTATAATTTGAGCTATAAGGATGCATGAGAATTTGAGTTTCTTTATCAAAATATAATCAAAAAACATAGCTGGTTTTTCTTTTTCTCTTTGTAGAACAATTACACTGTTAAAGATTTATCAAATTGATTTTTTAATTGGTGGAAAAAACATGGACAAACTGCTCAATATTTGGTTGATTGTTTTGCTTCCCGTTATGATGATTTCAAAAAATTTTGAATTAAATCCTCATTTGAGAAATTTTGAAAGAGAAATGCTCCTTAATTACCTTACAAAATTCTAAAGTTCTTGAGTTTGGGCATAGAATTATGATTTTCAGAATTTTCCATGTTTAATATGATGATATTATTATAAATGGTGAAAAAACTTTGCAAAAAAAAAATTGGCAGAAAAGTGTATTGACTCTGCGTTTGAAAATTGAGATAATGAATCCCAACCCGAAACCAATTTGAATCCTACTCAGGATCTTTTTAGGGTTCTTCAACAATAAATCAAGAAGTTAATCCAGCTTTAACTCCACAACAGTTCCGGAGTTATATGATGGAAATAACGTAAACCAATTAATTGCATCATTCAATAGGGGTAATTAGCCTTAAATTCCTTAGATCATAAAATCTCAATCTCGCCCCTCCTCATCTAAAGGAAAGATAAGCAAAGAAGATGATCAAGATAATTCTTAAGATCCAATGGATTTTAATGAAAATGGAGATTAGGAATTGCATCTTGGTCTATTACAAAATTTAGAAGATTTGGATTTGAGAATATCTAATTTAATGAACATTAATTTGACATTAATCATGGTTATAGTTGTCAAATCGTGTATCGGAAGGTGTATCGTTTTTTAAAAATAGTATATCATATCGTATCATGTATTGTATATCGTAAGAAACGCGCAATTTTAATTTTTAAATAATTATTAATAAAATATATGTATATGCCTTTATAAAAAAGTCATAAACTCATAATAACATAATATTTCATTAATATTCCACCAACTATTCAAGTTTCTAACATAGTTTAGTAATATTAAAATGTAAAGACCTCTAATTTAAATTTCTAACATCAACTGTTTGAACAATTTTAATATTAATCAGGAATTTGAATTCAATTGAACAGCATTAATATTAGACTTTATTTATTTTTTTTAAACTATAACCACTGAAATGATGTTATTTCACTAACTAGTGATTTAAAAGTAAGTCATAGGTCAAAAAGATGTCATTTCAACCAAAAAAAAAAAAATTCATCATGTATCGGGTGTAGCGTTTTATACGTATCGAATCGTATCTTGTATGATAAAGTGCAAAAATGATAGAGAGACACGATACGTATTGTTTTTCAGGTGTATTGTGACGTATCGTACAATACATATCGCGTATCGTACGATACTAATAACTATGATCATGGTAAACAGAAGAAACAATTAATGGGCCTGAATTGAAGACACGGCATTTCTCCTGTTACGGCAAACTGCAGAATTAAGTCACCAGTGATGTTATATATGGCGTCTTTTGTTATTTAATTTTTGGAATCCAGTTTCATGTTTGGGACTTTGTCTATAAAAGGGCATCCCTCACCATTGTTAAGTCTACAACTTTTCTTTCAGTCTTTCTCCGTTTTTCTCTTCCTCTTTGTTTTGGAGACTTCATTCTTCATTGTAAAGCTATATATATATTATAACAAGAAGAAGAATAAAAAAGGAGCGAGGAAGCGGTCGGACACAGCTATCCCGTCCGAACGTGCTTCCCTCCTAGTAGTTTAGNTAACCAGATCTCTCTTTAATTCAGGCTTTCTTATTTCTTCTCCCCATTTCTGGTTTTTGCGTTTCATGGGAATGCTAATAACCTGTGCAATACTGATGGCTTAGTCTAATCCTGAGTTGAGGCTCATTGATATATAACTACATTACCTGAAGGTTGATACATCTGCCGAGGACATGCCAAGGGAACAACTTTTTCTTGAGTCGTTGTTGGGGACTTTGAATGGGAAAGATGAAGTTGCATCAACTGCAGAAGCCTTTTTAGAGGCAAATAGTGGAGTAGAGGTGTGCGAAAGGATGCTGAAAATGTGGAATAGGTGAGCGGTTCTTTGTTGTTCTTATTTATCTGGATTAACAAGCANAATTGTCCTCATCATACTTTTTAAGTGCGACCGAATTCAGCTAGGTCCGCCATTCTGAATGAGTCGAGAAGGTTTTATATTGCCTCCTCTTTCTACATGAGAGAGAGAGAGAGAGAGAGAGAATCATTTTCAACTCACAATTCACAAAAGACAGACATCTGGAAAGCAAGATGTGGGGGAGGGTTGTGTGCTGGTAGGGGAAGGGATGGAGATATGGTAAATGCTTGTACTTTACGTATCATTATTTTGGTTCCTACATAATTGATATGGTTACTTGAGATATTCTCTTGTTACTGTTGATTTATTTGAGAAATGACATGCTGATGAATTAGACATACTGAATGAACTAGTATGTCACAAGTGGAAGCTGAAACTTCTATCTTGTGACCCACATGTCATCTGGTGAACTCTGAGATGATGTTTGCCAGTTCCCACAATATGGTGGCATTAAAATTATTAATTTTCTTATACTGTTTGTACCATTGAATGTCATGCTTCACTGTCATATCTGTCTAGAGTCAAAATCCAATCATTTTTTTCCTCCATCTGTTGATGACGAAATTATGATAACTTGTGTAAAACTAGGGTAAATGAACCCTGACAAATATTCAAGTTACTTTTTTTTCATTTTGGTGTCTGAGGTTGATGAATTTTAGTTTAGCCTAAGGTGGGTGGCTTCATTTGATTGGTTTATTAACCAGATCTCTCTTTAATTCAGGCTTTCTTATTTCTTCTCCCCATTTCTGGTTTTTGCGTTTCATGGGAATGCTAATAACCTGTGCAATACTGATGGCTTAGTCTAATCCTGAGTTGAGGCTCATTGATATATAACTACATTACCTGAAGGTTGATACATCTGCCGAGGACATGCCAAGGGAACAACTTTTTCTTGAGTCGTTGTTGGGGACTTTGAATGGGAAAGATGAAGTTGCATCAACTGCAGAAGCCTTTTTAGAGGCAAATAGTGGAGTAGAGGTGTGTGAAAGGATGCTGAAAATGTGGAATAGGTGAGCGGTTCTTTGTTGTTCTTATTTATCTGGATTAACAAGTAATTATGGTATAATTTTTTAGTCGCATATTGGAAACAAGTATGATCAGAATTTCTCATCTCTCTGCAACTTGTGCCAAATCTTTTGCTGTGATTTTATTTTCTTCTAATGTGTTAGCTTGGGGCCATCAACTCAGAAAGTTCTAGCACTCGCTGCTGAAGTCAAGACTCTGCAGAAAGATAGGGAACATTTAAGGATCAACCTTCATAGAGCTGAAGATGAGGTGAGCAATGTTTAACCTCCAGCTCTTCTAAAATCTTAAGTTATTGACTATGGTGTAACTTAAGTTTCATCTACGTCAACTTGCAAGCTTTATAATTATCAGGGTAAGAATAAAATTCAAACTAAAATGCTCCTCATCTGATATCATGCTAAACCACTAACTATTCCAAAGCGTAGTATATCAGAGCAGATGAATATGTAATTCAACAAGCACATTGTGCGGGGGTGAGGCTACTCCATTGTAATCTAGATGCCAAGGATTTCAGTGGCAGGAGTCTAGTGCACTGGGCCATCCATTTTAATGAGCAAATCAAACAGTAAGACTTCGCCTATATTGACAGATGTCCCTCTTGTAATAACTTAAAATATGTTTTGATTTGCTTAGGTAAAGGCGTTGTTTGAAGAAAACAGAATACTAGATGATGAGAATAAAAGGTTGATGAGGCAACGTCACAGAGAAAAGTGCACCCCAGGTTCTGGTGGAAAACTTACCAGCAGTGCTTCTGCTAAGGTGAGAAATGTAAAAATAATCTCTCTTTCTAGAATGGTTGTTTGTGTGCCTGTGCACGGGTTTATGTAGCAGCTGATGTTCTACTTTACTTAATGGATCAATTAACTTTTTTGTCTTCCAGAGCATCAAAAGAAAATCTAGCCCCGGGATGAGTAGCCCAATTGAGAAGAAAATCGATTTCCGTGATGGTGATTCTCTAAGACAGCCTCTGTCACCTCTGCAACATAACTCCCCTGAGTGTAGAATGCACAAGAAGTAACAAGAAATTTTCATTAACTGCTTTTTTTTATTTTCTTTGTAATCCTTGTTCTGAGATGGCGTTACTATTCTTGGTAACGTGTGATTATTTGCATACACAATTACATTTTCTTGGGCTGAAAAATATGTAATTGTTAGTGATGGGACGTTTCCACCAATTGATGGGAAGATGACACGTGTTCTCGGCGTGATGACTCGTGGAGCTTCCTTGAGCCGACACGTGTCCTTGGCATGGAACTTCTCAGAGCTCTTCTCAACTGACACGTGGTCTTGGTGTAACAAGACTCGGACCCTCGAAGAAGAGATACGTGTTCTCAGCATGGGACTCCTTGGAGCATTTTTTGTTTGACACGTGTCCTCAGCATCGAGGTCTCTTGAAACCTTCATCGTTTGATATCTATCCTCGGTGCCTCAAGTTCCCCGAGGAACTCTTATCTGACATGTGTTCTTGGCATGGGATTCCATCCCACTGAAGTGTTTACGAGTGTCTAGGCCTGTGCCAAATGGCCAAGTTCCCAAAAGAATTAAGAATGACATCATCACATTAGAAGTAAGAGTGCTTATTAATTTAATTTCTCTTCTTAAGACAGTCAAAGTGGCAATGGCAATGAAGACAGATTCATAACCAGTGATNGACAGATGTCCCTCTTGTAATAACTTAAAATATGTTTTGATTTGCTTAGGTAAAGGTGTTGTTTGAAGAAAACAGAATACTAGATGATGAGAATAAAAGGTTGATGAGGCAACGTCACAGAGAAAAGCGCACCCCAGGTTCTGGTGGAAAACTTACCAGCAGTGCTTCTGCTAAGGTGAGAAATGTAAAAATAATCTCTCTTTCTAGAATGGTTGTTTGTGTGCCTGTGCACGGGTTTATGTAGCAGCTGATGTTCTACTTTACTTAATGGATCAATTAACTTTTTTGTCTTCCAGAGCATCAAAAGAAAATCTAGCCCTGGGATGAGTAGCCCAATTGAGAAGAAAATCGATTTCAGTGATGGTGATTCTCTAAGACAGCCTCTGTCACCTCTGCAACATAACTCCCCTGAGTGTAGAATGCACAAGAAGTAACATAAGAAATTTTCATTAACTGCTCTTTTTTATTTTCTTTGTAATCCTTGTTCTGAGATGGCGTTACTATTCTTGGTAACGTGTGATTATTTGCATACACAATTACATTTTCTTGGGCTGAAAAATATGTAATTGTTAGTGATGGGACGTTTCCACCAATTGATGGGAAGATGACACGTGTTCTCGGCGTGATGACTCGTGGAGCTTCCTTGAGCCGACACGTGTCCTTGGCATGGAACTTCTCAGAGCTCTTCTCAACTGACACGTGGTCTCGGTGTAACAAGACTCGGACCCTCGAAGAAGAGATACGTGTTCTCAGCATGGGACTCCTTGGAGCATTTTTTGTTTGACACGTGTCCTCAGCATCAAGGTCTCTTGGAACCTTCATCGTTTGACATCTATCCTCGGTGCCTCAAGTTCCCCGAGGAACTCTTATCTGACATGTGTTCTTGGCATGGGATTCCATCCCACTGAAGTGTTTACGAGTGTCTAGGCCTGTGCCAAATGGCCAAGTTCCCAAAAGAATTAAGAATGACATCATCACATTAGAAGTAAGATTGCTTATTAATTATTAATTTCTCTTCTTAAGACAGTCAAAGTGGCAATGGCAATGAAGACAGTTTGATAACCAATGGTGAGATTGTAAGGTGAGATTGTAAGAAGTACAAAGCGTAGATGACATGACCTCTTGGGAGGGCCATGGACGAAAATATCCATGTGCAGCAACAATGGAGAACATTAAATGATCTTGCAGAAGGATAAGACGTACTTATTGCTTGGCGGATTTAGAAAGGTAAGCATTGAATGCTCGAGGATTCAAGCATTAAATGCAGAAGCTTCCATCATGAGAAAAAGAAAACTCGCTGCTCGAGGAATGGGCACTACTTATTGCCTTTCAAATGGGCAAACGAGGAGCCCTCTCTCCAAAGGATCTGGTAGTACGCAATGATTAACTCCATGGAAGTATAAATAATTCTTACAAACTCAAGTCTAAGATACGCAAATTCTCACTCAAGCAATAGAAGAGTGTTTTTCTACACTTCTCTTACATATTAACTTGATGGTCAGAAGGGTCATGCCATAAAACATTCCCGTGCCCTTCTAACCTTCCTTTTTGAGTGACAAGACTCATCTTGGTAAGTTGAGCATGACCAGACAGCTGAATAAAAAATTTATTACCACTCTTTACGCTATTTCTAATCACCCACTCACTACGGAACCAGGTAAACTCGAGTTCACCATAGGAGAAGTCTGTTCATTCATCTATTGTGCGAAAATCATCGCGCACAGTTATTATGGTGTAGAAATTTTAATCCAATAGAAATTGAATCTATTTTTGTTGTGAGCTCTTTATGTAAACATTTATGCATATCCATTATAATCTGTTTCTTGAAGGGAAAAACAAAACTCTTTAGATGTTAACATCCTGGATTTCAATACATGTCGTTGGAGAGATTTGGTCAAACGGTTGAAACATTGCTCTGCGACTCATGATTTTGAACATATTCTGCATCCGGCCACGAATTGCAGTGAAAAAAATGTTGGGTGGGGGAAATGGGGATGTGAAGTTGCTGTTTACTTGGAGATTGCGATCTCTGCTATTTCTCAGCAGTCAATAACAGACAAGTTTGTTCTTTTATTTGCTTGGTTGTAGCTTGATGACAAGCAGCAAATAGTATTGGGCTCTTTAAAATTCAATGCTCTAGCTATCGATGCTATCTGAAACTGCCTATTTTTCTTTTATAGTCTATGGTTTAAGTTTCAGGCTGGTTCAAATTTAAACAATAAGCATTTTTTTTTTCAAGTAAGTAAACTTAACCATGTTGCTTCTGAATAAATTTCAGCTAAGGATGTTGGACTTGAAGCAGTAATAAATCCTTATTTTTCTAAGTGATACTGCTAGTTTCAGTTTAAAAATTAGCTGCTTAAACTAGGGTTAAAGATTGTTTATCCATTACATTTTTCGTATTTAGCTTCACAACTGGTTATAAACTTATTGAACAATAACACTCTTAGCCAAAAATAAAAAATAAACATAGGTAGAAAACCTGTTAATCTTTCCATATAAGCATCTTCATTGTCTCTGAAGTAATAGGATTCAATTCATATATTACTAGTAATTATCTGTGTGATGCACAGAATTTGAAATCTCTTTCCACCCCCACCCGTAGCCCCATTTCCTCCCCGCATCCCCACCACTCCAACCCCCATCCGCGCGCACGACAAAGTATTTCACAAAAGTGTTATTCTTTATCTCTGTAAATATTTTTGATACATATAAATAATAATTAGAGATAAAATAGGAGTTTTGCTGAAAATGAGAGTTTTTAGAAGTAATTGATTTAACATGTATCTATATTATTAATTAAGGGAGAAGGGAGATGCGAGATTTGGTATTCATTGTGAAATATCTGTATTATCCCTTAACCATCCGTGCTGACTAATAACTTCAGTCTTATTAGTCTTTTGACATTTTTATGTTTATCTATTTCCCTTCGNTAACATGTATCTATATTATTAATTAAGGGAGAAGGGAGATGCGAGATTTGGTATTCTTTGTGAAATACCTGTATTATCCCTTAACCATCCGTGCGGACTAATAACTTCAGTCTTATTAGTCTTTTGACATTTTTATGTTTATCTATTTCCCTTTGTATCTCATTCTTTTTTAATTACGCATATTGGAAGTCATGTTCAAGTGCCTCTAGTTAGAGATATAGTAAGAATATAGATAGAGTTGAACTATTCTCATCCCTTGAATCTCAAAACCCACTCTAATAAACCTAATGTTAGCCTCCAAAAAAATCTACTTCTCCCACCCCATTTCTCTTCCTAACCGTGGTACTTTCAAAGCAAAAATCAAATTGAACCGAGTTCCAAATTTTCAATTTATTTATATTTTAAACAGAGACAAATTTTAATTGTGATTGAAGATGGTTAGGGCCAAACGAATCGCTAGTCGCATTAAGACTACTAATTTCGTTTTGATTTTGTGATGAGTTGTCAAATTAAGTCTAGAATTGCCAAACTTAGTTTCAACCCAATACCTCTAACATGTTTAATCATAGCCCAATCAGCTAATTACATGTCTCTCAAATTTGTTGTATTTAGGTTATTGTGTCTATTCAATAGGTTATAATTAGATAACGATATCACGTCTCAATGATAATGTAATACCAAAACTTTGGGGATTCAAGTGCATCAAAACTAGGAGAGAATTCTGATAAAAGAATAAGAGATTAGGCATCAGCACAGTTACATAGGCAACCCCATTGTTTGTGGAAACTTCTAAAGCAAAAGTAATGCCTTCTTTTTTATTCAGGACAGATTTCATTTTGGAAAATGTTTTTTTTTTAAATTACAAGTGTCGTGACTTTTCAATGGTGACTGTTCTTAGTGATTTTATATGGTGGTTGTTCATGTCTACATAAGCAAGACATATGCAACAAATTATTTATTTAATTAATTCAGTTTCTAACTATTAAGTTTATTTCTTTTACACCTCATTAGTAATTAAATCCACCACATGTTATATTCACTTTTTTTATAAGTAAATCTACATTATATATTATCATGAAATATACACCCCTATTTTGGTTCCATATATAAGAAGTTACATGTATGAAAGATACGATTCTCCGGTATAATGTTAAAAATGTTTTCTATTTGATGGTGAATTAAATAGAATCTCAAAATAATCTCTCACACACAAAATCTATCAAAGCCCAAAAGAAAATTAAAAAAAAAAAATTAAGAAAGGAAAGAATCAAGAAAACAAAGAAATAAGTCTATCACCGAAAAAAAAAAACTTTCTAATTCATCAAGGCTAATTCACAAATGAAACAAGCTTGCCAAACAAAACAAGTTTTCCGATAAAATCATCTTTACTGTCACTTTTTAAAATAATATGAACGCATATATATTTATATAGACATATTTATACCCTCAATTAAAAATTATTAAATTTGATAGAGATATCAAAACACAATAAAAATAATCGAAATTCATACATCACACATGAAATTAGCAGATTGGTTGGATGAGAAGGCATATTAGCAATAGATTAAAAATATTTGGTTCTTGATCAATGGAATTGTTTTCTTGAACAAGGTCTCTCAGATCATGGTAGTAAGAAATGAAATTATGAATTCTTGAGAAACTTCAAATATAAGTTAAACCTGATAGAATGTTGCAACCCTTCTCTCTATTTTCTTAGTTTACTCTTTCTTTGGCATAAAACAATCGTGTTTGACCCTCAATAAATGTGGTGGTTGGTAATACGTAATTAATAATGATATCTGTACCACTTTTGGCCATACGAATTTCATAATTAATTAGGCTTGATTTTGAATGCGAGATGAAACACTGCTTTCAGTTCTTACCAAATAGAACATGTGGTTCTCCCGTAGTGAGACAAACGGATCATGGTGCAAATGATCTTCTGTATTGAAGGGGTATGATAAACAATTAGATGATATGATAAATTAACTTTTGATTAATCAAATTGTTACTTAAACGCAAAGGTTAGACCGAAACAAACACCAATAAACAGAACTGAAATTGTGAATTTTCAATGAAACTTGAAATTGTTTTGCTTAACCGAGCTAGCAGGTGACAAGGCAATGCGTTGTCACATTATTCCATTCTAGCTTAGTTAAGTGAGAGTTTATTATTTCAAAATTAGTGATAATAAGACCATGCTACAGTTTGGTTGGATGAATAAGGCTTTAAACAATCCGATGAGACATTGATTCTTCGGATGATTGCAATAAGACATAAGACTATCTCTGAATTTTTTTTCTATGTTTAAGGGATCAATGACTTAAATAATTTTTCAACTTGTAATACAATGAATTGGAACGTAAAAAGAAAATTAGAATGTTAAAGTAATAGATAAACAAAACTTGGAAGATGAAAAATGTATTGTACTTAATATTAAATGAAAAGCAATGTTATAGAAATTTAATTTAAGGATTTAATGATATGACTTCAATGCAATCATTGAATTAATTGTGAATTTCAATGTTTAATAAAGTCTACTACTGATCTAATTATTGTATTGAATTAAGTCTCAAAATTAAGTCTAAATTATATTTTTCTTACATGAAAACAATAAAGATCACCTGAGTAATGTATTACAGGAAAAATTAAAGTTGCTAGGAAGTAAAAACAAGTAGGAGAGATGCTGCCTTTGTATAGAGTTGGTCATTTTTTATCGTAGATCTTTTTTATGTAGCTTTGTCCTTGTTATTTGTAGGGATGACTTTTAACCGTTGTACTGTAATGTTTACAGAGGTGAAGTTATTTAAAATGACATTATTTCATGCCCAAGATCAAGTTATTTTATGCGTGAACGACAATGTTTTGAGAAATAACACACAAATTATACTATAGTGAATTCCCTCCCACTTGGACCTTGCCGCAATGAGTTATACCTCCATCCCAAACTAAACTTTGACTCAATCACGAGTAGGTAAGAGATCAAGAGGATCACACTTATTAAAAGAAATTCGCCAGAGTTAAAAAATGTGGCAATGTCATGTACATACGAATATCTTCACAAACTAAGATTGAAAGTTGGGTACATTCGAAATGACATGATCCGACACAATTGCTACGGCACAAAAAAAAAGTTTGATCAATCTTAAAAAGTTATGATCGATCTGCGTAGTCCAATTTACTACAATATCAAAAAATAAGTGGAAAGAAACAGCATCGGGGAACTCCAGAACTAGGCAAATATCCCTGTACGCTGACCAGCGTTTGGGAGCTTTTCCATCCTTCATTTGATATGATCCTCTGTAGTTTTCTGAGTCCTGGACAGGAGCACCTCATTCACCATTTTCTCAAAATTTACATAAGATGAACCAGTTGAACAAGCCTCTTCTGCTAACTTCTTCCACCCCATGGCTTTTTTCTTCATCTCTTCACCCTTATCTGCAACCATCAAGTCTCTAACGCATTTCTCAACTTCGTCTCTCTTAACTTGACCATCTATCTCCATGCCAATGCCCCATTGATTGCAGCAGAACCAAGAGTTAGTCGGTTGCTCAAACTGCACCGGCCAACATAGCATTGGGACTCCAGCGCAAATACTTTCGATCATGGAATTCCAACCACAGTGTGTTAAGAACCCTCCGATTGCAGGATGGCCAAGAACTTTTTCTTGAGGGCACCAGCTCGCTATTCGAGCTCTTCCTTTGGTTTCTACATCAAACTCGAGGGGAAGAATTGCAGACTCGCCCTCGCCGACTACTAGATCTGATCTAATGACCCACAAGATGTTCTGCTTGCTATTTGCAAGACCCCAAGCAAATTCGATGAATTGTTGTGCTGTTATGCGAGCGACACTACCAAAATTCACGTAAAGAACTGAGTTGGGTTCTTGGGAATCCAGCCATTCTAGGGAACTGAGGTCTTCTTTCCACAGATTTGATCCAATAGAATCTAGTTTATCGTTTGCAAGAAGCTGATTGTCGAGTAGATGAAGAGGACCAATTGTGAATATGGTTGGAAACACAGGTGGAAGTTTATTCAAAACCGTAGAGTCTAAGGCATCGAACGTATTCAGAATGATCGCAGAAGCTTTAGACAATCTCTCGGTTCCATCCATGGTGAAATGAAGCATAACATCGTGGGGGTCTGTGATTCTGCTTAAATAAACCGGTAGCCCTTTCAAAGTTATGCCTTCCATGCTGGGTATCCAATCTATAACAGTGTCTAGATAACCATTTGTTAAACAACTCCGATCTGCACTTCAAGGAAACGGTGGAATCAGAACAAAAGTTTGAAATTTAAATTATCTCTTTCTAGTTTTTACCATATATATTATGGCAAAATGTCATCAAGTGATGGTATGGTGGTGTGGTGGTGGTGGTGAGGAGTTGGAGGTGATAGTGGTGGTGGTGGTTATGGCGATAGTGGTTGCAGGCTGTGATGGTGGTGGCACGTGGTTGTAGTGGGGATCGTGGTGATTGCAACAATGGTTGTGATGTTGATGGCAATGACAATTGTGGTGGTGATGCTAGGGGAATGGTGATGGCAATGGAGGTGGCGGCGGGATAAATGTGGTGATTATGGTGGCGGAGAGTGGGGCTGTTGTGGTTGTGATGATGGGGTGGAGGTGGCGGCAGCCTTGGTGATGTGGTAGTGGGAGGGAAAGAGAATGTGATAAGACTTTTAATCTCTATTTTTAGGGCGTTCCCCCTTATGTTATGGCTAAAAATTATGGTTTTCTATTTTTTTATTTGATATTTTATAGTTGAATTTTTTTAGATCTATTCTATCCAATCGAATATATTATTCTTATTCAAATTCTATCCAAAATAATTGAGTAAAAAGTCGGGTAGGAAATCGGGTGAATATATTTTTAGTTATTAATGTTTGAATCATTTTAACAATTTAATTAAGTGATTTATACCAATTAATTAACACAATAAACCAATAATACTAAAAAAATAATAAATTCCACAATAAACAAATAATTACAATAAAATACAATAAGAAAGTCATAAATATCAACACATTATATATATAAGAAAATTATAGACATCAATAAAACATTAGAGTTTCTAGATTTTTCGATAAGAAAATTATAAACATCAATAAAACATTAGAGTTTCTAAATTTTTGAATTAATTTTTAAGGATATATATATAGACACACACACACAAAAAAACACACACGGTTAAGAGAGGGTAAGAATACAAAAATTTTATAAATATTTCACATTCTTACTTGAATTTTTACGTAATACCAAAAAATCGTCCATTGGTTTACCTGATTCTTAGAATAGCCTATTAATAGAGTCGAGTAGAGTAATGCAAGGTCAAAATTTGTGGATAATCAGAAATTTGACCACCCCTATCTATTTTTGACTAATTTGGTATTGGATAATTAAATTTCAAATTTAATAATGACTAATTCTATGTTTATGTGATGCTTTGTATGATATTGTGAATGAATTTGTATTCCCTTATGCTAAATATTATAATAATAATATTACGCTGATTAAATTTTAAGATTAAATTTAGAGTTTAAATAATATGACAGTTGACTTTGACTTATTTATTTGATTTCATGTCATTTAGGCCCTAATAAAAATTTCAAATAATATGTTGTCATGTCAATTGAACTTTAAATTTAATTTCAAAATTTGAACACCCTAACATTACTGATATTAGAATGGACATAGTAATGAATATCTCATTCCTAACCTCTATTGTCCCGTATCAAACGACAACCAATATATTTGACCTTTTTTTCTTGTTTTTCGGTTGGTTTGATGATCATACCTTTCAGTGGTATCAGACCCTTTTCGATCAATCGGCGAGAGTAAGAGCAGGCCATGAGACCACAAACACTGGAGGTCCCGAGAAGAACATTAGGGACACAAAGCTCTTCGGCAACATCGAGAGTGAAGCTCATGAAGGCATCGGAGACTATGCAAGTCACCGGTGGGACCTTGGATGACGCCGTATCATTGAGTTCCGAGACTAGTTCTCTAAACGGAACCAACAAATTTGTTCTGATGGCATTGACAATAGCCAAGGAATCTTGGGTGGCACCTTCGTTCGATGGAGCGATGCCATCAGTGATGGTGGCAAAACGGAAGTTTGGGAGGCCGTCCAGGGTGATAAGCCCTTGGGATCGCTGCAGGCGGCGGTGGTTGAACTCAGTGTTGACGAAGGTGATATGAAAGCCACGAAGGTGGAGGAGTTTTGCAACTTTGAACATGGGGTTTACATGCCCTTGTGCTGGAGCTGGCACCAGAACTGCATGAGGCTGCTTTACCACCATCTGATTTGTCTATGCTTGGTTTGATTAGAACTTAGAAGTGGTTCTTTATGGAAAGCTTGAGGCTTTGCCTTTGTAAATCACCTTTTGTGTATATGGCAGGGCCCCATTGACATAAGACGAATAAATTAGTATGTAAAGGAGTTACACTTGTTCGGCGGAGTGGGCTACATGTGCTTGCCCTACCAAATTAAACTTTGTCTGGTGGACTTCTTCTTCGGGGAAAGAAAAAAACAAAGTGCAAGTTGACACTGTCGGTTTTTATTAACTCTACTAAAAAATTATAATTTGTTACATGTGCTGTCCTACCAAATTAAAATTTGTTTAACCGATTGAGCATAAGACTTCCATAAGCTTTCACTGTCCTACCAAATTAAAATTTGTTTAATCGATTAAGCATAAGCTTTCAGGTCATACCGGTGCTATTTAGTAAAAGTTCTACTTAGCAGTTAAAACTCGGAAAGACGGGTCAAAATGAGACTCTCTTAAAAGAACTATAATTCTCATTTTTCAATTGAGATAACAATATTATTAGTACTTTTCTAGTTTGTCAACAAATTTTGTAGTACTATTCTACTATGAGCTTACTAATGCAACTTTTAATTAAATTAATAATAATATTTAGACTTAATTTATTAATCTAATCCATCATAATTGGATTAGTAACGGGTCTCACAGAAGAATGAAACCTACTCTCAATATAATAACAGTGAGTGATTAGATCAATAAATTAAGTATAAATAAAATTGTTCATTTTGAATTCAATTCTCAAACCCATGTTTTTTTTTAACACAATTTTATCTTCATAGCAATCAACATCGATTTTATACCACTTATCGTAGGAGATTTAGTTGTATTGTTACGTGGTACTATCAGATTAGGTTCGTATAAATTAGTGTAAAGTTATCCAACCCCATGACTTGATCCAAATATGATAATAAGTTATAGTCATATTATCGCAAGAAAGTAAAGCATAGTGCCCTAATATATTGTCATGAGTTTGGGTATAATAGTCAAGAAAGTTGAAACTTCAAGAAACCAAAAAAAGATGCAAAAAAAAAAAACGCCTACTAGATCTTGAGAGCATACTAGACCACTTTAGAGTGAGTTAAGACTATCTCCAACAATACTCTTTATTTTAGAGAGTATTTTTTTTTTTAAATAAAGAGTATCTTTAATAAAAAATTATAACATAGAGTAAATTTTCACACCACTCTAATAAGACTCTTTATTCTTAGAGCATTTTCAACGGTGATCTCTATTTAGATAATATTTTTAATTCAAAGTTATAATAGAGAGTGAATTTTTACACACCATTCTAATATGACTCTCTATTACCCAGTGTTATCAGAACTGAACTGGATCGGCCTGTCGCATCGGTTCAACCGTGACCTAGGGTCTTGATCGGTCCGGTTCACTAGTTAAATCATATAAGGAAGTGAACCAGGTAAAAACCGTCAAATTGGCCAATTTTTTAAGAAAACTGTTAACGAACGATTTTTAAAAATCGAACTGATTTAAAGTCCATTTTAAAAAAAATGAAAAATTATAAATCTGATGTTTTGTTTTTAATTTGGGACATTTCGATTTGCCATAAATCGCATAAGGCAGAGACCACTTAGACCGGTGCTCACCAGGGAGGTAGCGATCAACTCAGGCAGGCAGCGATCCTTTCTCCTTTTTCACATATAATCATGTTGATGTTGGTTCCAGGGAGGTGTCCATCCATGCTGGTCTGGTTCATTGTTCATCACCTTTGGTTTTTTTTTTTTATCAAAAAAAAAAAAAAAAACACCATCTTAGTACATAGGAACAAGAAAGAGAAACAAAATATGGTTGAATTTGAAGGAAGATTGGGGACTATNAACACCATCTTAGTACATAGGAACAAGAAAGAGAAACAAAATATGGTTGAATTTGAGGGAAGATTGGGGAGTATAGACCTCCCCCATTTCGTTTCTCTGGTGGCAAAATGACAGAAACTATTTGCACTTGCTGGGTTTTGTATTTTCTATTTGCATTTGCTGAGTTTTGTATTTACTATTTGCAATTGCTGGGTTTTGTATTTATTACAGTATTTGCACTTTGTTTTGTATTTCCTTTGTTCTGTCCCTTCTTTTAATCATTTTTTAATCTATTTTTATTTGCTCAATGTGATTTTATTTACTTGAAAATATTTTATTCTGTTTTTTTTAATCTGCTAAATACTTAATTTTATTTTTTGTGAACAAATTATATGTTTTGTGGATATGTTTCATATTTTTTATCTAAATTATTATATTTTATAATATTTATAATTTTTTTTAATTTTTTATTATATGACTGGTTCGACTAGTTGACCCAACGGTTGAACTAGTGAACCATTAATCCGCTTCCTTTATCGGTTCGATGGCCAGTCCAANTTAGCTAAATTATTATATTTTATAATATTTATAATATTTTTTTATTTTTTATTATATGACTGGTTCGACCAGTTGACCCAACGGATGAACTAGTGAACCATTAATCCGCTTCCTTGATCGGTTCGATGGCCGGTCCGATTTTGATAACATTGTTATTACCTTACCCCTTTGAACTATTACATTTATTATACTTTGTACCCTCAACTATAAATTTTTTTACATTACACTCTAAAGTATTAATTTTATTTCATTTCACTCTAATAGATAATGGATGTCAATTTTTTTACAATAAATGCGTATGTGAGTAATTTGTATTATCAATAAACAACTGTCTATTGTGCATCTGTATGTCANTTTGTACCCTCAACTATAAATTTTTTTACATTACACTCTAAAGTATTAATTTTATTTCATTTCACTCTAATAGATAATGGATGTCAATTTTTTTACAATAAATGCGTATGTGAGTAATTTGTACTATCAATAAACAACTGTC